GCACAAAACAAACTGTATCCTGGAGTGCGTTCTTGATGATGTAGAGCTACACCATCACTACTACTAAAACTGCTATTCTTGCTGTGCTTGCTGACTGCTGAGCAGCACCAGTGGTAGTAGATGAACTAATGTCCTAATCGCCTCTATGCTTGCTTGCGTCGATGTTTGCTCAGTCCTTTTTGTACACATAGAGACTGGGAGAGAGAGAGAGANGAGTAAATGGCGAATGGCAAACGGCACTGACAGACATCAACGATGCCTCGCAAAATGCAATGCTGGCTGCTGCTGCTAACTTTCACATTTACTTTCCCCCTGGTTGCTTGATTGTTAGTGACGAACGTGTCTGTGCACTTCTCACCGACGATTCGGTAACGGTGCCTCATTTTGTGCACCGCAATCTGCCAGCTTTCATTTCTTCTTTCGTTTGCTGATTGTAATTCTGCGCGCGTGATTCGGCCGTGTTCTGCTTCTGCTGAAGTTGGTTGAAGCTGGTGCCGTCGATTCTGGTCACAGGCACCGTCGCTCAAACGACATCGGCCAAATGGCACGAAACATGTGCTCGCTCTCTGTACATTTTGTCCTCGTCGATCTTTTTTCTTTCCCTCCACTTTACCCGACACACGACAATTGTCGAATAAGAGAGGAGAGGGAGAGCAAGTTTCCCAGAGCGCTTTGTGTAGCAATTAAACAACAGAGTCGCAATGTTGTGTCGGTGCATCGATCATAATGCACAATTGGGCCATGTCGCGCCTTGTGTGCTCTGTCACTGCTGCAGTTGTGTTTTTTGTCTTGCACGCAAATGGCCGTTTCCTTAATTCTACCGCCGAGTGGCAGCAAAAAAGAAGCTGGAGCTCCAGTGCACAAAGTGCACTTTGTGTTTCGCTTTGCTGGTGACAGTGTGTGGTGGTGCTGGTGACCACTTTTTTCTCGATGCTTTGTTAGCAGCCTTCAATCGTCGTGTACATTCGTGCCCACAATCCACACAGTTCTCATTGGCACACGATCACCAACACGATCAACGCGACACACTGGCACAGGGAGCACACTGCACAGGCGAGACCGAGCAGCGACTTTGCTGCGACGTCAAGAGCCTGCCAGCGAGGGAGAGAGTGCATTAACCTAGACTTTGTGCTGCTGTGTGAATGTGTGTGTGTTTCATTCACTATGTGTTGCAGGCAAAATGGCTCATTTTTATATAGACACACGGACGCGGACAATGAGTCCTTTCTCTGAGCACAGCGGCGGCAATTTTGCGTTTATGTATGATTCAGGACGATGCAAATATGAAAAGAAAAGCAAAATTGTTTATAGACCAGTGCCCAGAAGAACGCAATTGGCACCACTCGAGTGGAGATGGCTGTTGCCAAAAGCGAAGAGAGATGCACTCGCTCGGTAGACACTCTCTTTTCTCTCTCTCTCTCTCTCTCTCTCTCTCTTTTCTTAGTGTTCACCGACTGCGCGCGAACAATGGCACCGAGCAGGGCGCGAACGCTCTTCTTTGGTGAAACACGTCGAAGATGCTTAGTGCCGCAGAAAAGAGGAGAGATGCTTAGCTGGCTGCTTATGGCTGCTTATAGTAGGCCGTGCTGGCATCTTCCTCTCCGCATCTAAGCTCCTTTGGCGCCGAGGGCATCGAGCACGCGCGTAACAGCATCGAGTACTGCACCGAATTGAATGGAATACAGTGCGTCTCTCACCAGACAAGAGACGAGGCTTGCAGTGTTCATTCTAATGGCACCGCCTGAAGTGAAGCAGCAGCATCAGTGCTTACCCCCTCTTCTTCACTTCTTCCTTAGTTCTAAGTGCCTCTTCAGAGCTGTGCTTAAGGACAGTGCTCGTCGATGGTGAGATGGTGCCTCTCTTCTTTTCTTTTTTCTGAGCCTGAAGTAGCACTGCTGTTCATTCTTCATTTAAAGTGTAGTAGATGGTGCGCTGAGTGAAAGAGAAAGAGAAAGAGAGGCTCTGCTCCGGTCTCAAATGGAAGCTTCTGTCATTGGCGCAGGCACATCGATCACCGCCAATCGATTCACAGCCAACTGCAGTTGTCGTCGCCGGAGAAGCAGCAGTAGCAGTACCAGAAACAAGGCCTGTCTCCTCACGAAAGCTTCGTTCCCTTCCCAACTGCTGCTTCAAATTGATTTCAGCCCATTGAAAAGCTTAAATCTTATTAGGCTCATAATTATTGACATTATTAGCATTGCCGTTGGTGGTACTGCTGAAGAGGAGAGAGAGAGAGAGAGAGTGGGCCCACTTTTCCACAATTGAACAGTGCACAATGTGATCGTCTGTCTCTGTGTGCACTCTAAAATATGTAACTGCACAGTCTATAGATTAGCAGCGAAGCACTGTTCAGTGAGGAGGCCAGTGCAAGGAGGGAGCGCACTTTTGAGTCGCCTATTGACTGCTGGGTCGTCAGGGAACACCAGGCAAGGCAGCTAAAAAACTGGAACATAACCATAATGAGACAGCTACTCGGCTGAGATCGAATCCGATTGAAACCTATAAGTGCAATTTCTGACTGACTGTATGTGTGTGTGACTGTCACCCAAACTGCTGGACCGACATCCGGAGACAGTGAGAGAGGTTCGATGAAAGAACACCGTTTGACCGAAGGACGACAAGCTCAAAAGCAGCAGCAGCAACAGCAGCAAGCCCCTCTCGGGCCTTCTGCTGTTTCTCTCTTTATCTTTGCCTCGTTTGTATTGCCATCAAATAATGAGTTTAAGAGGATTACCACAGTGATAGGACAGAGAGCATTGTGTCACTGTTCTCTTCAGCTGTGAGAGACTGAGCCGCAAACTCGGCGCGTTGCAAAGCTTTCAAAGTTGGCGGCTTTCAGCGAGAGTGAGCCGACTCTCTCTTTTCTGCATTGAACATTCAGAGCTGTCCACTCGACAAAGTTGTCAGGCAAACAAATTGCCCATGGACGGGAGGACACCGTTTTTGTCGCCCGCCGTCGGTTGGCTTATTTGCTCACTCAGATACGCTCTCTTGCTTTCTCCATTATATGGCCCGGGCAACAGCAACAACTGCAAGAGCAGCAGCAGCAGCATAATCGAGCTGTTGAGACGAACGCCGCCGCCGAAAATGCAGCGTCGAAATGATTCAAACGGGCGGCAGCAACGACTATCGATTGAGGGAAACGCATTCATGGCAAGAGCCTTGCATCTCACTCACACACGCTGAACGAACTAAAAGAAAGAAAACAGGCACTGAGCTAGAGAGGGACAGAGACGGAGACGGAGGAGACAAGCACGACACCATAGCGAGGCACACACACATCACACAACTGTCGTGTCTGATTCAATTGAATCCATTCTCTTTTCGCTTGGAGTGAGAAAAGTGGCAGTTTTGGCGCCGACTAAGCCATACGTTCTCTCCCTCACTTCTCTCACTTTCCAAGTCGACCCTATATAGTGCTCGCCCCTGCACAGTACCGTTTCACTGTCTCAAGCACCCGTCTCCAGGCACTCACTGGTGCTTGCAGGGCACCCGAATCAGCACCCGAAACTTGAAGTGTCAGGGAGCAGGCAGGCAGACAGGCAAGCTGACAGAGTGAGTGTGTGAGTACCAGAGTGCTATCCATTCCATTTGCCGTTCCATTCATTCACTCGCTGGTCCTCGCAGCCTTTGCTGGTGAACCATCGCTCAGCACTTGGATCGATAACTGGGCAAAGTCTTTGTTTTTGTCTTCGATCAGTGGTGCAGACTTTGCAGTGCGTCACACAAGCCCACTGACATATAGCACCCTACACTGACTGGATTATATCGTCTTCTTCTGCTGCTGACCGGTCAGCAGCGCCTGTCAGCAGAGTTGCCAGCGGAAGGCAAAGTAAATTGACGAGTAATGCACACAAACACACTGTCAGAGAGTGAGTGCACACTGCGGCGCCCATTTGCATGAACACCTACGAGATGGTGGTGGCAGTAATTTCTGTGAAGGGCGAAGGGCGCCCTGGCTCTAACTAGATTGCTTCCTTTCTAATGTAAGATCATATCATATGATAATGTCAGTCTGTCTGTTTGTGTGTCGTAATTACCACACACTGACGACTCGTGTCGATGCACGAGCTCGATATGTGGTCGTCGCCACAAAACTGTGCTCTAATTATACCCTTAGTTGCTGTGGCAGTCGCCGGAAAAGGTGTGTGTGTGTGTCTGCATTTGCATTTTCTCCTTTCTGGGTAGTGTCCATTGTTCTCTGAGGATGATTGCGGTAAAGCGAGTAAAAAGACACAGCAAATACAAAATTCTTTATTCCAGTGATTTGCGTTTAGTAGCAGCTAATCTAATTGAATTTCTATCTTTTCTTCTCTTTTTTTTGCAAACAGAATGTTCCCCTCCTTTCGCATTCGCGTCTCAGGCCTGGACAAGAAGGCCAAGTACATCATGCTAATGGACATCGTGGCGGCGGACGACTGTCGCTACAAGTTCCACAACTCACGCTGGGTGATGGCCGGAAAGGCCGATCCCGAGATGCCAAAGCGAATGTACATCCACCCTGACTCACCCTCCACCGGGGAGCAGTGGATGCAGAAGGTGGTCTCCTTTCACAAGCTCAAGCTGACGAATAACATCGCCGACAAGCACGGTTTTGTAAGTAGCTCTAGCACTGCTGTCCAATGCACTCACCACTCATTAACTGTAGCTGCCCCCGCAGACGATTCTCAACTCGATGCACAAGTACCAGCCACGCTTCCACCTAGTCAGAGCCAATGATCTACTCAAGCTGCCCTACAGTACCTTTCGGACGTACGTCTTCAAGGAGACCGAATTCATCGCCGTCACGGCTTACCAAAACGAAAAGGTTCGTGTCCGCTGGTGATTAGCGAACCACACTGGCCACGCTGTCCACTTGGACAGATTTTCCACTGTTTACTCCAACCACTACCCTCAATCCCCTCAATTCCTTTTCTCCTTCACGCTTAACCTTTTCACTAACCTGTGTTCTTCCGTTTCTTTTTCTCTTCCTCCCCTCCTCCCCTCCTCCTTTGTTGACTTGCACCGAACCGGTACATACACCGCACGCGCTCATACGCAAACAATCATGCAGATAACTCGGTTAAAAATCGACAACAATCCATTTGCCAAGGGTTTCCGTGAGACGGGGGCTGGCAAGCGGGAGAAGAAGTAAGTAGCCGCGTGGTCGTGTGTAGCGTGGGCGAGTGTAAGACTTGCCGGCCATGTATCATGTGTGGACTTTTTCTAATCACAGTTTTCTTATCCACTTCTCTTCTTTTGTGTACCTTTCCACTCTCTCTCTCTCTC